ATCCACTACAGAACATTTTTAATTCTACGTCAAGTATGTGCCTGAACATTTTTGAAATGAATTGTATAAATGGGAAAAGCGAATATGATGTTATGCCATGAACCAAATGTACAGTTATATAAAAGTTTGTGATAAAAAAAAATGAGGAATTTGTTAGTGTTTTATTTTGGCTATGGTAATACTACCAACTCTACCTCTCAAAAAGATCTTTGCCCTTGCTCCCTCCGGGCCACATTATGGTGGGCTTATTTTCGTGTCATTACTCCTTCCATTACTCAACTATTCCACCGCCTATATGTCATCATCATTCTCTTAATCACCATCACCATAACTCCTGAGAATGCAGGAAAGTGCATATCCCAGCTAGAACACACCCATCTGTTGACAATATAAATAAGATTACAGTAGAATCCCTATTATAGGGGGACACCTTCGGGACCAAAAGAGTGTCACCTCAATATAGATGTCCCCTATTAAGGGTGGGAGAGAGGGAACTAAAAACGTGAAATTGACCACAGTAGTAAAAAATGAGGACGTATTTTTATTTTCTTTTTTGATGGTTTACTAAATTGTATCAATAATTCGCAATACAAATACAATACATTTATGGAGCAGGCCTAATACAGTACCTGGACCCCATTGGAAGTAAGATTTTTCTCATTGGCTATCCTGGCATCTGTCCCTTTTTCAATGTTTTAACTGTGACTACCGCATGTTGTATATTGTAATTATTGCCGATGCCGAATGAATTTGAATTGAATTTGAAATTATACTAAAACAATAAAATTTCTTTGAATTGTTCCATATTCCATTTCTATGACAAATATTATAATGCATTAATCATACATTTTCTTCAGCCCCCACCAAGGTTGGGACTGATTTGGTACATCGTCCGTCTGTGAAAAATGCCTCCTGGACCCGCCATTGGATTTTAATCCTATATGAAATTGTTTATCAGGGCAACACACACAGTAAGCTAGATATTGATCCCCATTTTAAGAATCAAGGAAAATGTGCCTTTATATTTTTATTTTGAGTAAAATGCTGATGATGGGAATCAGGGGTGGCACTAATGGATTCAGAGTGGCTACAGACCCCCACCCCCGATCACGGAGATACCCCATCACGGATCTCCCCGGCTGGGGAAAAAACTAAAAAATTTTCTTGGAGAAAAAAAAACTATTTACAGGGTTTGAGACTGGTTTTATGCCTTTTAAGTCGCTAAATTGTCAGATATTTCTGCCAGAGGAGTTTCCCCGGCCCCCATGTGAGCGTTCTACAAAGTCACTAGCTCCCAACTTTCTCCCGTCTGAAAAATCAGCCTACCCCACCCTCCCGACCTCCATGTGTATCAGAAGCTTTGAAATAGGGGGAGGGGAGGTGAAGGTAAATTGGGGCTTGATGAATAGGAGCGCCGCAAGGGTGGCGCCAGCAGGGCCTATGGTCCGGGGCCCCCGTCGGAAAGAGCACCCCTCTCCCCGCCCGTCGGAGAGAACAAAAAATGTAGAAATATTTTTTACATAGGTAGGCCTACCTATTGGTAGACTCTATTATCGATTAAATAAGCCTTTGAAACCCCCAAATTGTCATATTTTCAGGGGCCCCTGGAGAGGACCACGCCCACTTTTTTCGTCGGAGA